GAGAAGCTTGCCGCAGAGCAAGCAGCAAGGCAGAAGGCGGGAGCCCAAAGCGCAGAAGAAAGGCCATCGAAATTCGGCTGGCTGGCTGGGTGGCCAGTTGCCCAGCCTCACTTCCCCAGTTTCTGGACTGGGAATTTTTAGCATATTTTGATTTTTGCAAAGCCAGAGTCTTAGGGAATCTTGGTGTCAGTGAGCAGATGGCCAATGAGGTGGAGCAGGAACTGGAGCAAGTCCGTGGGACCCACAGACTCTCGTTTTCTGCCCGTTGGCCTGACAGAAGCAAGAGCTGTGTGTATGTTCGCAGGGGTCCATGGTTGTCCAAGCAAGGTATATTGCATGAGACATGGTGTGGTGTTTTGCTGGCCTATTCGCCGAGCACGCAGCCGGAGTTTTCTCTCTTTTGCTTTTCAGGCGCAGCTGGATTCCCTTTGCCATACATGTTTTCTCGACTGTGCGGGTCGTGGGCTCCTGAGGTGCCGACAAGGAGCGACTTGCTCAAGAGAAGGAGCAGGAAGCACAACTTCGCCGACTGCCAAGCTCTGGAAGGAAGCAGATTGTGCCAAGGGCCCACCCTGAGAGCATAAACTTGTGTTTCCCGAAGTGGCGCGCCCCGTAATTGCGTGGCCGAGGGGATCTCCAGTGAAACCAATTTTGGGAGTCCTTTGGAAACGCAGACGCTCAATTTGAGTTTCGGTCGATGGGTTCGGGACACGAGCCACGAAAACATCAACCGCCAGGGGTTGATTTGCACATGGTAGCGTATCGGATTCTCTCTAAATGGGCGGAACACGGGTGCTTCCCTTTTGCACTCCCTTTTAAGCCAGCCAAAACAAACAATAACCTCAGAGGAATCGTCGGATACTTCACCTAGTTGTGGCTCACTGTCCGGAAAGAGAAACTCTTTACTGGCTCGGGGTTGGTGCAGGATGGGGTCCTTCCTTTGGGATATTTTGGCTGTGCCATTTTGGGGGACCGATTCCTACGTGAGGCCAAGAGGCGGAGCTTGCTCACCGCCTGGTTTTGAGGGACTTGCAGCAGCTGAAGGAAGACCAGATCAGGCAAATCGATATGGACTGCGGAGTCTTGTTTCAGCCCTGCAAACCAGCCACACACACACAAATATTTCTCATGGACAGCCAGATGGTTGTTTCCCTGGTTGCTGCAAGATGAGTTGGATCCAGGCTTCCGGCGGACAAAGATGCGGAGAAGGCGAAGCTGGAGGCGCGGAACCTGAGGGACAAATTCACATGCGTGTGGTGGACGCCGAGGATCGATTTTTGGCAAGGCCCTTTGTCCATAGCACCGACCCCTCCCCTTAGCAAATTCTATTAAGCTCGGCGATCCCGGGGCCAATCCTTTGAGGTTTTTCTATGGGACCTGTCTCTTGCTTCAGGAAGCCCTGAAGCAGACGGAGAACCCGGATGGAAGCAGTGCACATCCTGCAGCTAGCGCCCTCCTTGAGGAGAAGTGTCGAGATGCTTCCGGGCAGGGTGGGGCAAAATGTGATGGAACAAGCACAAGGTCGCCCGTCTCACAAGGCAACCTACGCGAGCTTTCTTACACAAATGCAGGAGCAGAACAATCCGATCCAATAATCCTGTTGGAATGGGCAGCAACAGTCCTGGCGCAGACACGTGCACAGCGTTTGTGTGTGTGTGTGTTGTGTGTGTGGGTGTGCGTGTGATTCCGTTGCAATCGGAATGGACCAAACTACGATCATTTGATCACTGTATGAATCTGGCTTTGCCATACTTTGATGAGATTTGAGGTGAAAGCCTTCCCACCCGGCCTGCCCTGTTTCCCTCTTCCTCTCTGGTGCCCCTTTGGACCAGACAAGGGCATGTTTGGGCTCATGCAGTTCCATGCCCCAGGTATGTAGTGTCCTCGTCCCCTGTTGGCCTGAGAAAGTCGATGTCAAACAAGCTCTCGTTTAGCACCTGCACGTCGTTCAAATAGCAAATGCCACAGCAAAGAACAAAGCTTGGCCTTGCTGGTGGAGCTTAATTTGCTTGGAGCCTTCGCGACAGGGTTGCGTTGTTCTGCTTTGGCGCAACATGATTGGCACATCGCCAAAACGATAGCTACAGGATACTACTCTGGGCTAGTGTCCGCATGCGCATGGTTCCGCGTCAGTGGGATTCGGACTGCGAGACGTTGCAAGCCAAACATGAGCTCAGCATTGAAGGAGTTTGGCGAGTCGCAGATGAGCGCCTTGGCAGAGTAGCTTTGTTAAATTGGCTTGTGGGTGGCGTGGGGAAGCATTGGACATGCCGTCTAATCCTTCTGCAGAAACAAATTTGAGTGTCTTTTTGATACAACGTGCCTCTCGCAGGAGAGAGAACGATGAAGGAACACCGCACAAACGGTCAGGAGAGTTTGTTGCCCTGGTGTAAAATTGGCGCTGCATGCAATTCAGCCGAGCTGTGGCTAAGGTGCAAAGGAAATTCTCGGCCTTTTGTCCGGACCGAAGGCGCGACCTGCAGGAGGAGTGTGTGAGATTCATTTTTGTTGCTTCTGCAAGTAGATGCCCCACATTTCTTTTCTGTGATTGGCTTGATGCAACCACAGCACGCTAGCAAAGCGTGAAGGAAGCGGGCAGCTGGCCAACTGAATCACACGAAAGAAGTCCTGCGCCAGGGGCTACTGGACCTCGCTGGGCACCTGCTGTGTCCCGGAGAACCGAGCGCCAGCGCGTACCAGGCGCGTACCAGCTTCATGGCGATTTGGCAACGGATCTTTGGACTGGACATTTTGGTTGAAGGAGTGGGGTTTCCGTATTGGACCCCGCGAAGAATTCAAACACTTTCTGCAGAGGGGTTGTTGCAGCAACCAAGATATTTGGGTGTGCGTTAATCAATGTGAATTTCCAGTTTGCACCGGAACTGCAACAGCCAGGTGGCAACTGTGTTTGCTCAACGCTTCGCATCTGCGCGCTGCAGCCTTAGCTCCGTTGGACCCAAGCTGAATGTCTTTTTGAAGCATGGCTGGACCGATGTTGGGGTTCTCGGCTTCATGTGTTTTCAAAAGTGCCTTTGTTTGCTCTGAACTGAAGGTCAAATAAGCATTGAGAAGGCCGGGATATCTAGAGTTGTCGTTGCCTTGCGCGAAAGCTGCATCGAGTCAGTTCCCATTTGAGCAGGCAGAGTACGGCTATGAGAACCCAGTGGACCTGGCCAACTTCCTGAATGCTGCAGATATTCGGCTGGTTCGGGGTGCCTTCTTGAAGAAGCTGCACAAGCTGGGGCAAGCCATGCCTCGGCGCCAAGAGGCGCAACAAGCAGCTGCCTCAGTGAACTGCACAGACCAGACGCTGCAAGCTGTGCACCTGCGAGCTGAGGCCTATGTGGCCTATGACGGCATCACCCCCGCGCTGGTGACCCCTGAGGAACTGGCAGAGTGGGCTCAGAAGGCAGAAAGGGAGGGCATCGAAGAGGCTGGAAGAATCGTGTCGGTCTCCCACGCATGGGAAAGCCGCGAGCATCCAGATCCATATAACTATCAGTTGCAGCTCCTGGCCCGCCACTTGAAGGATACCGACTGGGTATTCTATGACTTTCTGTCCTTGTATCAGTACTTCCGAAACGAGGAAGATCAGGAAATCAGCTTCCGGCGAGGCATGCAAAATATGCATTTGTTGTACGCGCATGAGAGCTCGACCACAGCGCGCATCCAAGAACTCACACCCGAAGACGAAAAGAGCCGGAAGAGTGACCCAGACACCATCCCTGTGTTCAGTGCCAGGCTGGGAAGGGTTGTGGCGGTGCCCATCGGGGAACTCACGCATAACGCCACGCCATATCACTGCAGGGGGTGGTGCGTGGTGGAGCGCGAGTGGTCCGCGACCCGAAGCACGTCCAACGCTTCAGCCCGCCTCACAGAGGCAGGCTGGGCCCAACAGGAGGGCAGCCAAGCCCCGACGCCGCCGAACATGTTCCGCGATCGTATCACCAAGACTGGTGACGATGGGTTAAAATTCACCCATCGCGCAGATGTGGCGCCGGTGCTTGCACTGCAACAAAAAGTTTTTGAGGATAAAGCAGGAAGCCACAAGACACTCACGATGGACCAGCTGAGCCGGGAGCAGTTCCAGATCCTCGTGGAGGCACTATGTCACTATCCCAAGCTGGAGCGCCTGGAGCTTAAGAAATGCGAGATCGAAGCTGCTGCGTTCTGTGAGGCCGGCTGACGGCATTGCCCGAAGCACTGTTGTAGTTGCAGGGACCAATTTCTCTGGCGTCCTGAGTGGTAAGGGCCGCTTGGCAGGCTGAACTCTGCCTGAGCGGCATTGTCAATGTGCTTCGCTCGTTTTCCGTGGTTCTCTTCTGACCCTTTTGATAGTTTACAGCCTGGACTTCTGCCGGCCTGTTGCAGTTGCCAGTTGAGTCTGCGCGATAACCCTTCTTCCGAAGCAACTGGGTTCATGCACGGATGTACGCTTTGAGTCGGACCGGTTGGTGCATATTATATCTTTGACACACTTGCATATTGCCGTCTCAAAACCATTTTCAGAACCAAACCTATAAGATTTTAGGTGTCACATATTATATCCTTGAGATACCAGTAGATGTTCTAGCTTCATAGTTCTAGCTTCATAGTTTCGCATTTTGGGAAACCGTGGGTGTTGTATCTTTCAGAACCGGAGTATATCCAAACCCCTTCACCACAAGTTCGATCATTGTCAACGCCAGCGCGTGCGCACTGAGGAGTTTGTGGTTCCGGCAGATTAACAATCCGACAAGTTAGCAAGCCTCAAAACACAGTTCAGACACGTCCCCCCCAACCCTGTGCCAGGTCATGCTTGGCAGCTTGCTGAGGGCAATGTGAGAACACGCATTTTGGCCTCAGTTCACGAGTGTCCCCAACCGTTTGTGGGCTACTTCGCAGCGAAGAAGCGCATCCGAGCTACATCCACAATAATGACCAGGGTTCGCGCCTGCCCAAACCCGATCCAAAGACGGCCATGCAAAGCCATTGACACCGCCCATAGCGCTACACCTCGGCGTCCTGCGGCAAAGCCGCCAGTTTAAAGCACAGTCAGCGCCCAACTTGCGAAAACAATGAACACATGTGAAACACACAAAACGGGAAACCAACACAAAACACAACTAGTTCCGAAAACAGGCAAATTCTGTCACCGGGGGGAATTGGGGGGACCTTTTGGGTGTTCACTGCTTGATTGGCCATCGCACAATTGGCCGGCCTGCTCAAGCGAAAATCGTCGCTGTTGTGATTGCTGTGTTTTGAGCAGTTTCGAAGCAACAGTGTTGCCGACAAGTGGACAGAGCAAGTGGCAGTGCAAATCCGCACAACAGAAACCAAGCCTTAGTTTTGTTGGTATACTCCTCTATCGCGAAACTAGGAGTGGTGATCCTTGTGCAGTGACCAGCAAGAAAATCTAGTGCCGGTGGCAGAACAACAGCCGCATTTGATGGATTGGTTTCGTGCGCCAATATGTTGTATTTGTGCGTTTCAGTGGGTATCTGCGTGTTCAGCACGCTCTTTTGTTCTGTCATCTATCGGCTTTCGCGGGGCAAGTGAAAATTATCGCTTCGCTTGTCACTCACTTGTGACTGCTGTCGCTTTGAGCGGAGAATGAAGCGCAGGTGAAATAGTTGTTTTGGTTGGCCCAACCCAAAGTCGTGCCTATCTTTTGTGAATGTGTTCTGCTTTCAGGGGCGCAAATGTTGTCTCCACAGTAGGCCGTCAAAGCTTCGCGGGCGATCACCACAGTTCAGCTCGAGAACATCAACGCCTCTGAAGCTGCGGAAACCGTGAAGGCTGGCCAAGTGAGCCATCTGTTTGCAGCCCTCTAAAAGTCTAAGTTGCCACGTATTTGGTTGCTGTTTTTACAAAAGACCGGAATCACATCATGCTCATAAGAACGTGCCTTATTGTGCGTGTCGGCAACACTCAATCTTTCCAGACAAAGGCCATGCAAGAGAAAAAACCTACGTTTGAGCAGCACGCACTTCGTCAAACACTGGGCTCATCGTTGCCTTGATGGCCTTTAAAGGCCGTCATAGCCCCCAGACTTCTCAGCAAGGATTGGCGATTTGCGTGAGTCGAGTAGAGGGTTGGATGTGCCTTGGGGAAGCGCAGGGCTTGATGCGCTTGGAGAAGCTGCGCTTCATCGCTGCGAACGCGTGCGGCCTGGGGGATGCTGAAGCTGCAGTCCTTGCCGAGGACCTGAAGCGTAGGCATGTTTGGATAGCTGGTGGTGCTTGTCGTCGCCGTGTGGCATGTCATGACTTCGTAGGGGTGCTGAGAGCAACAGATGCATCAGAAGCGGCAGGAGTTGAAGAGATCGGAGCGTGGAAAGCTGGAGCTGCACCTCAACCACAACAGCTTTGGCAAGAAAGGACTGTTAGACCTTGCAGAGGCCAGTTCCTTGCATATGTGTGTGTTCATTTGGATTTGTGGGAATGCCAGTGGCTTCGTTTCAGTGCTTCCCTTTCCTGCTGCGTGCGTGCGTGACTGCTGCGACATGTCATTGCGGCGAGTTGGGATTGATGTTTGCTGAGTGTGTAGGATGTCCGCAGGATCATCATGCACATTGCACATGCAAGCCCTCAGTTTTGCAAGAAAACAATGGTTGAGTCATAGCTATAAATGCTCTGATATTTGAAGTGTCCACCGTGATGCTTTCTACATTGCAAGAGCGAGTGCTTCACTTATTGGTTCCATCTACTGCACTCTGCAGGCAATAGGCTCCGTGAAAGATCTGACCTGCCGCGTAGTGGGCAAGCCCATTGACGCAACCAAACTGGATCCGGAGAGCGACGCCCTGCTGATCCAGGCTGTGCAACAACAGGGCGTTTGCAGGGCGGGCGGGCGCCTGGGACACCATCGGCTTGACATTGCAGAAGTGTTGACAAGAATGAGCAACTCGGTCTCAGGCGCAGGTCAGGTCATCCAGAACAAATCGCCGCTTCCAACATTTTGGACAAGTGTCTTCCATCAGACTGGCTGCTTGCCAGGCTTTTGGTGTTGATGCGTCGCTTTGGCTGGATGCAAACATCCAGAAAGCGATCGGGGCAGCAGCGACAGAAGCAATCGCCCAGGCTGGGTGAGCTGCCCGAGCCACAGAGCAGCACACCTGTGTCAGGCATGCTTTCTGGGCAAGTTGGAGTTGGAGTTGGAGTTGGCGCCATACTCCCTAGGCCGGCGGCTGGGGGAACAAGAGCGGAGAGGTGAGATGCCACAAGGCGAACAGGCTGCGAACAACACACGACTGGCTACAAGCCTTCTCCACACAAAAAGCAAGCTTCACTAGCCCATCCACTTCAAAATTATGTTTTTTGGCTTTTTTAGCGCCACTCCTCAATAAAAAGGCATGTTTGAGTCATTACGAATGTCAGGTTCGTGTCGCGACGCTTGGAGTAGCTGCTACGCTCCTCTGATCTAATCGCCTGCGGCCAACGGCCTCGGTGTTCTTACCTTCGTGCTTGCTCAATGACAGGGAAAGGCTTGCATTGTCTTGTGGCTTTCTACAGTCTTCTTTACACGATTATCGCGCGATCATATTCATCACGGGTTGCCTAGAAGGCTGCGGGAAGTAAATTGTTGGCGTGGACGGTCAACGAGATTCCAGCAGAAAGCTGCTGCCACCGGTTGGTGTAAATGAGGTGTGTGTGTGTGTGTACATATTTCGTACTACAGAATGTTGTGATTCTCACCATATGATTACATGCATGTAACCAATTGTTTCCGACATCCTGCTGCGAAGGAGCTACCTGCCTGGGTCTGGTCACCTTCTCTATTTTCTTTCACATTTTGCCTGTACCAGGCAGGTCCTCCAAATCATTCCGGCGTTCATTCTTCGCCCAGTCCTTCAGAGTCTTTGCCGTTCGAGCATGAGCTGCGGCAGACTCAAGATTGTTTTTGTGCCCGGCGTCGTTGTTGACTGTCATCTTCCTCATATGGAAGATCCCGGTACAATCTTCCAGTGTGTGGCGCGGCCGAGCACCAGGACTTGCAGCTGCTGTACTGTCTTTCTTGGGTGCGGTTGACAGTGCGGGCTTCGCTTCCTTGGCAGCGCTGTTGGGTCACCTCTCTTGCCATGTTCACCGGCTGCGCTTCTGGGGCTCTGCCAGTGTGATTCCAGTGACAAATCTGAAGCTTTTGGGGTCTTGGTACAGGGCATGCGCGCCATTTGCACACAACCTGCTCAGTGTATTTGCGCTGCGCCATCATCAGTGAGGATTCTCGGGGGCCCAATGTAGCTTGAGAGCCAGCACCAAGCTGGGACCAAGCTCTTTTGTGTGTGTGTTGTGGTGAGCAGCACTGGTCACGTCAGCAGTCTGGGCCGTGGCGATTACCTGGTTGCTTCTCGTTTTCTTTTCTTTGCCCCTTTCTCACGATCTATTTATCTACCTCATTTGGGGCTACCTCTTCTTTTCATGCCCATGCGTCATACGTGCCAGGGTCAAAAAGGTTGGAATGGTCATCATCCCCTTCACTAGGCACTCAGACCGCCAGTCTCTTCCTATTGGAGCTTTGAGTCTGCAGTCGCCCTTCCTCCAAGCCGAGCCTTGCTGTTCACTCGTCCCACTAAGGACAGCCACATGCCTGGTCACACATGTCACATGGGAGCAACACAGATTGATGAAAAGCCCGTGCTTCAGGGATTCGGACAGAGCGCAGGTAAGGATGAGATCCAAGACGCACTTGGCAGGCACTCAGGCTTGTGCTGCATAGATGGACTACAGCGAAGGTACTGTTGGATGTTTTGCTTCGCACTATACCTCCTCAAGTGCAGGCAAGCTTGAGGGCTAAGTGCTTTTTGCTGACATCGTGTATCATCATCTCCGTTTAGTGTGTACTGTGTGTGTGTGTGTGTATGATCGTGTCCATCATGTTTTTCTCACCTGGGTTTTCAAGACAAGGCAGGGAAGGGGTGTCAATCTTGGGGTCTACAGAACAGACAAGGCACTTTTCGCTTGGAACGGTAGTTTTGCAGATAATGAGGTTGTTGAGAGTGAGCAATCACGTGTTGGGAGTACGGGGTTGGGACTGGATAGTCCACCTTCAGGTTTGTTCCTCTTGCAAGCTCGGGCTTGTCTGTAGCAGTGTCTCAAGCCACACGCAGGCCCCAAGTCAGACGTATGCTGAATTCAACACCAACAGAAGCATCATGTGTTGCTGTGTTGCAAAGAGAAACCATTGTGCGGACTGCGCCGCTCACACCGCCTTTTGTTGCCCAGTCCAGCCTGGTGAAAGATGCCCTCCTCCTTCTTCTCACCTTGGCTGTGACAAAGGAGCCTCGATCCTCCACGCGGAAGCCTTCCTTGGTGTTCTCGTTGATGCAGCTGGCGAGCGGCCCAAATTTCTTCAGCCTAAACGCCTTCCCCTTCAGCAACTACACCGCGTCGTCAGCCAAGCAGCGCCTCCTCTCCCCAACAAGGGCCTCATCCAGCGATGCTTTTTTCCTTCACCATCGCATTATACCCTTCTACCCAACACCCCTTCTCACTCCTGTAACCTTCTTACTTGGCTTTCGCCCTGTCTTTCTCCGGCCCTTTCTCCGCTGGATTCCAAACCAATCAAACCAACCTGCGGACCTACGCCACCAGCAATGGCTTTCCCAACCCCGCAGTCCCCAGGCCTCACGCAATCCATCTTCCGCTGGCTGCTCGCCTCCTAAGTGCCTCTGATGGCTGCCCACAGTTGTCATCTCAAGTTCTTTTAAATTCAGCACCAGCTTTTCTTGTATTTTGGAACCATCCTGCCACCCTCACCTCAAGTTTTGCAAGGCTCGGCCAGACCTCCTTTCCACCTCCGCGACCGGCTGCCTGCCTCCTCATCAGCAAACGGATTTCCCACCTCCAAGTAACTAATTCCTGCGCCACGCCCAAAACCTACGAGCTGCCTCGGGACTTAACAAGGGTGCGTAGCAGTATCTCATGCCACACGCAGGGAATGCCAAAGTCAGGCCAAGCTGGCAAGTTTCGATTTCAGAGGGGGACCCTTGTATATTGATTTAAAGGCAAAGCTTTGTGTACATGTTGACTTGCGCAAAGTGCATTCATGTTTGTTGCTATGTTGGACAATTTGTCCCATTCACACGTACTCTGAAGCTGCAGTGTGGGTGTCCGCATCTTAGGAGGTCATCAGCCCAAGCCGTCCGCCCCGAGGTCCGGATGGCGCCCGCAACCTGGCGGACGGGCTCCAAGGCCTGGTGCAGCTGCAGCAGCTGACGCTGAATGTGGAGCGCAACGGGATCGGCCGGGAAGCCCAGGAGGCAGAGGCGCCGGGGCGAGGCGCAGCTTGCGCTGCGTGGTGCCGTGAGCGGGATAGGGCTGAGGAAGCTCGATGTGTGTTTGCATCGGACATTTCAGGGACTTCCGGAGGAATGCTGTTGCGCAAAGAATTTCAGGAATTCGGACATGGCGGAGGCGCCGTATAGTCGGACTGAAACGAAGCCACTGCTGGGTGTTTAACTTCATTGTGCAGTATACTTCCTCGCTAGTTGGTTTTGCGCGTGCACAAGGTATTTTCAGCGCAGGCCAGCTTGAGAGCTAAGTGCTTTGTGCTCACGTCGCGTAGCATCGGCACCGCCATTTATATGTGTTCGTTTCCAGTATGTGTTTTGCACCTGCCTTTTCAACAAGAGTCCTCCCTCCCTCCTGGGTCAAAGAACAACAGACCAGGCAGATTTCGCTTGATATGGTCAGGTAGCTTTGCAGAAGATGCGGTTGTTTGAGGCTTGTGGCTACAAGGCGGCTCTCCGAATCATGTCAATACCGGCAAACACCATACATGGTTGGCCCTGTGGTGGCAAGATGATGTGAGATAGATGGGCCTCTGGTTGGCGTGCCTTCTTGGGGCGGATTGGAGTTTGGGCATTTGGGACTGGATAGTTCAGTTGTCACCTTCATGTTTTTTTCCTCTTCTTATGTTGTCCAAACTTGTTTTGGGAAAACTGGGATGTCAAAGTGCCAAGTGCTGTTAACTCTCTCGACCTTGCTGGCACTCGGTTGGGTTGATCGTCTTTCTTGGGGCCATTTTGGCTCAAGTCCCTGACTTGATTTCGGGGAACCTCGGTTTTGCCTTTGTTTTCCCACCCTCCACTCCCTATGGCCTTTGACCTCAAACGGCCGACGGAGGAGATCAAAGAGGGGGACACTTTAGCGAGACCCCCCTCTGTCTGTCCCAAGGTGTATGCAGGCAAATCCTCACCCACCATGACACCCACCTGGATTGGTGCGGGCGGTGGACTGAGGCGGAAGTCCGCACCAAGGCCCCGGGCTATCTGGGGTTTGCGGACAAGCTCAACGGCTATACCACAGCCACATCGATCCTTGCGGTAATCAGGCTGGAGAACTCACTGGATGCCTTCAAAGCCTCAAGAAGAGGAAGCTGAGCGAGCTGGACATCTCTCCGGTGGTGGACCACAGGGCCATGCTCAACAGACAAGATCGCAATGAGATGAGATCGGCATACCAACTAAGGTTCAGGACCAAGCCGGAGGTGGATCGGACCACATGCTGCGCGTACTCCTGAGAGGGGAGTTCCCGACGGGCACCCTGCTGGACCTCAACAAGGTTGTGGCTCCACACCCCAAGCCGGGGGAACTTAAATACCAGAAGAGGCAATCCAAAGAGGGCGCGGAGTGGATCATAGAGGAGTCCTATGGAGCCTCCTCAGAGAAACAATGGAAGCGCACCTTTTTCGTGATGGTGGTGGCATCGGTTTCCTCTCCAGCCACCATCACGCTACATGTCTTGGGGATGACGTTATGGGAGGGAGCCATCCCCGAGTCTGGGTGTCATGATGACTGAGCGTAAAGTCTGGCACCGAGTGGCGCCCAGAATGTCCATATATGACAGTTTCACTGAGCCAAATCAAGACCAATGTCCTCTTCTGGACTTGTGAGGCGTATGAGCGTTCAGGTCCAAGGGCAAGGACCTTGGAAAAGGGAAGCCCTCCAAAGGCAAGGGTGCCAAGTCCAAGTTCGCGGGCGGTAGAAGCAAAAGGCCATGGAAGTTCCAACTGGTTCGCGTCTCCGGCGGGCTCCAAAGGAAAGGGGGCAGACCCCCCGAGTTCCTTCAGCCAAGGGAAGGGCAAGCGCTCGGACAAGCCACCGCCGGCAGAATTTTGCAAGAAACACCACGCCTTTGACAAGTGCCCATCAGGCAAGGCGTGTGAGAAGAACCACCGGGCGGTGGAAACCACCGAGCGGTGGATCACGAGTGACTTTCCAACCCTCCCTGGAGCTGGGAGTCTGGGGGAGGGGCGGGTGAAAAAATATGTAAATCGGGGATTCCACAATGGATTTTAAATTTTTCATAACAGTATAAGAAAAACTCAACTAGACCACGGTTGGCCCGAAAGCAGAACATCGCAAGCGAGGTCGGCCCAACGCTGCAGGATGCGTTCTTTTTCCCTACACTTCGTGAAGCAAGCGCGAGACAGCACCAGGCAAGGTGCTCTGCGCAAACTGGTCGGTGCAAGTTGGTCTGCGCAAGTTGCTCTACGCAAGTTGCACTGTGCAAGTTGCTCTGCGCAAGTTGCTCCGCGCAAGTTGCTCCGGCAAGTTGGTCCCTGCAAGTGGCCAGTGCGGAGCGTGAAACGGTGACTGCCCAAGTCAGGTACGTGCTGGCGAACAGGAAGATGAAGCAGCTCAATCTGGTTCTCAGGTGCCTTGAAGTGCGTAGGCGGCAGTGTAGGCGATCGAGGTCTCCTCTGATCATCATGAGCGCGATGACCATCACCTTTCCATTCTCCCCAGTCCTCTTCATCTTCCGACATCCCTTGAGGTCCCGGTGTGAGGCTCCCTGCAAGTTGCTCTGTGCAAGTTGCGCTCCCTGCAAGTTGCTCTGTGCAAGCTGCTCTGTCCAAGTTGCTCTGCGCAAGTTGCTCTGCGCAAGTTGCTCTGCGCAAGTTGCTTTAAAAAATGCAAGTTGCATCTTGCGACGATCGCCCGCGGACCAGGGAGGAATCGAACCCGCGACCCGCCGGTTCCGGGAGCAGGCGCGCGAACCACGAGACAACACCCGAGGACCAGTTCGAACAACAAAAGTCGCAAAAAACCTCGAGTTTTTGCACCTCGCCCACGCCGATTCCCGCAGAGGGTTGTGCGAGCACCGCAGAAATCGCAAAAAACCTCGAGTTTTTGCACCTCGACCACTTGCGCGGGCACCGCAGAAATCGCAAAAAAACATAGGTTTTTGCACCTCGACCACACCGATCCCCGCAGAGGGTCGCGCGGGCATGTCGGAAATCGCAAAAACCATGGGTTTTTGCACCTCGACCACGCCGATCCCCGCAGAGGGTCGCGCGGGCATGTCGGAAATCGGAAAAAACCATGGGTTTTTGCACCTCGACCACGCCGATCCCCGCAGAGGGTCGCGCGGGAACTTTAGAAATCGCAAAAAACCATGGGTTTTTGCACCTCGACCACGCCGATCCCCGCAGAGGGTCGCGCGAGCACCGCAGAAATCGCAAAAAACCATGGGTTTTTGCACCTCGACCACGCCGATCCCCGCAGAGGGTCGATTTTCGTGGAGTGTCGTCGGCACTACCCCGCCGCCCTAAGAAGAGATTTTAACTCCTCGCAAGTCAATTTCACTTGACTCCTTGCACTTGCAACTTGCACTCGACTCCTTACACTTGCAACTTGCACTTGACTCCATGCACTTGCAACTTGCACCTGACTCCTTGCACTTGCAACTTGCACTTGACTCACTTGACACTTGCAACTTGCACTTGACTCCATGCGCAGCTCGCAATGACTCTCATGACTCCTTGCAATGACTCCTTGCAATGACTCCTTGCAATGACTCCTTGCAATGACTCCTTGCAATGACTCCTTGCAATGACTCTTTGCAATGACTCCTTGCAATGGCTCCTTGCAATGACTCCTTGCAATGACTCCTTGCAATGACTCCTTGCAATGACTCCTTGCAATGACTCCTTGCAATGACTCCTTGCATTGACTTTATGATGATGATTCCTTGCAATGACTCCTTGTAATGACTCCTTGCAATGACTCCTTGCAATGACTCCTTGCAATGGCTCCTTGCAATGACTCCTTGCAATGATTCCTTGCATTGACTTTGTGATGATGATTCCTTGCAATGACACCTTGTAATGACTCTCATGAGAAGAACTCAAGTGAACCCAGCGGAAGAACCCTTCGCCATGCTTTCGGGAAAAATATTTTCCATCAGTCAAGCAATGGCAGGTGTCTTCATTTTTCTAAAACCCATTTCATAACAGTCAGCAATATTACCCCCTCTTTCATTTTTCATAAATTCATAACAGTTAAGATACTTTACCTCATCCATTTTATCAATTCTATAACTGCCCCCTATTTATTACTCTCATTCATTTTTTTACCAAAATCATAACAGTCAAAATACATACCCTTATTCATTTTTCATAAAATTATAACAACCTCACATTTAGCACCCTTATCCATTTTAACATTTCCAATCATCGCCCCTTCATTCATTTTTATCAAAATCCTAACAACTAACCATATACCGCCTTATTCATTTTTATCAAAATCATAACAGCATCAACATTAATCACCTCATCCATTCCACATAAATCAGAACAATCAACACCCAAACCAAAAAACTCTAACAGAAAACAAACAAATAAAAAAAAACTCGCCAAACAACAAACCACACAAAAAACCAAACAACCGACCATACAATAGATAATTACATAAACCCGACAACAACTCACAGATTAACTCACTCGGGATTGTATGTATTCAATTATATTATTTAAGGATAATATAATTAAGCAGTAAAGATTACCAAAATCGGATTTTTTCACCAGTAAAAACTTTACAGCTGGAAACCCTTATATATTCAAATTCTTCTCTCACCTCATCACCTTCACTTTCGGTTTCACTGTCTTCATTGAAGAAAGCTTCATTTAATTTGTCAGCAATTTCCATACAAAAACTATGACCATAAAGTATATCATGTCTCTTATCATCATTCATGTCAACAATATAATGTAATATTTCAATCAACTCTTTGAACAAGTCATTAAACTCATCATAAGCATCTTCCAACTTTCGCCGTTTGTATCCCAAAAATAATTCATGGTGTTTCTTTTCCAGTGCTTCCATTGTTTTTCATGATTGATGTTCCAATATAAAATTACCAAAACTTGGTAATGTCTGTTGCTTAAATGCTGTAATTTCGGTATGCTTTGTAATTCTTCAAGCGTTGGTAAATCATCACCGTTTAAATCAATATAATAT